ATTTTGTAGTTGTTGCCTATGAAGGTTATTTGCTTTGATGTTCTAAACAAATAACTGTAATTTCTTGTGCTGGACCTTTTTTCCTAAACTTGTAACAGGTGTTTGATATATAATTTTTCGATAAAATTTTGAAAAAATGATTTTGTCTTTTTTTTAGAAATAAGGATCAGCAGAGAGAGTGTTTAATTCATTAAATTAGATTGTCTTTAGTATTCGTAGAAATAAGTAAAATTTGCTAGTATTTATAAGTATATTGATCAAAAATTTCTTGAATTGTTTTTTTGACTATAATAATTTCTGTTTTACTAAATGTTTTTAATTTTGTATAAAGGTTAAGAATAGCAGAGACAACAAAAGACTTATCTATTATATTCCAATATTCTTTATTTTTTGATAAATGGAAGCAGCAACTGTCTTTTGAGAGAATTCATCTTGTTCAATATATGTATCTAAAAAATCTTAAATACTTAAGAACACTAAGTATATATCACTTATAGTTGAATATGATGTTGCAGAGAGCAATTTTATAGCAGCTTTTAATAGTTCTAGTAAATTAAGTATTTTCTAAAAACAATTTTAATTAATAATTACTAAAAAAAAAAAACCAAAAATTTTAATTTTTTTTTGCTTCTAAGGTTTTTTCCCAATAATATTTGGATATAGGTTATTAATTAATAGATGGTCTATAGCAAGTAATTTAAATGCTAACTTCATTTTTTGCATTTTTTGTAACGTATAATAAGTGCTGTTCTATCTCGTATTTATATCTAACTCATGTTTGAAATATGAAATTTCTTTATATTGGCATAGTTTATGCAAATTATTGCAAAGACAGGTGGATACTTTGATTTTTGACATTAAGCTTCAAACTTTATCTACTAAAGAATTGATCATTTCTAATCCTTGTTTTGCAGCTAAATTAAGAACATAGGCTGTGTAATGATAATGTGAAAACTCAATATTGTCAAATTCATATTAAAGTTCTTGTACAATTAGTCTTTTACAAACAATCATCGCAGACTCATTATTGGTACTAAGCACTAAAATTTTATCTTAAATATTAAATTCAACAAGAAGATTGTTAATAGCACTTGCTATATTTACACCTATATGTCTGTTGGTAAATGAAATAATATCTAAAAGAAAATAACACATTTTTCAATTTGTATTCTTCTACTTTCAAACTTATCTATAATCATTTTTTTTGCAGCTTGTCTTGTAGGTGTTTTATAGTGGATGTCAAAAAAATGTATAAATTTATTAAAATATTAATTCTTAATAACAGTAAATAGTTGTTAGTGTTAACCTGTAGTTTTTCCTTTAACCATAGTAATAACAGAAGCTGCTTAACTATAGTATGATGATTATAACTTGACAGATTTTATACAAAAGTTTACACAAGACTTTAATAAAATACAGTGTGATTTGGGATTTTAAGGCAGAGATAACAATAGATAGTATATGAAGATACTAAATATTGCATTCAGTTTATTAACTATAAAATGTATGAAGACACTTTCTATTAAAATGTATGAAGACACTTATATGAAGTGTAGGAACACTTAACTTTCTTGAAGGATCAGAAAGTAATGCTTTTATAGATATTTTACTATATAAATAATTACAATAAAGACTACTATATTGCTAATAAATATTATTTATAGTAATAAAAACTAATAGATATAATATATATAAAAGATATAATAGAAATAACAGATATAATAGATATATAATATCTGTTAAATATGTTAGATATGTTAGATCTAATAGATCTGTTAGATTTGTTAGATTTCTGGAACAGTAATATAAGTCAATCAAAATCAAGTCACATATATTACAATTAGTGCTTTTCATCAAAATCATTCTGATCTCATGATTCCGTGATCAGAATCACATGATCTTGTGCTCGTTAGAATCGTCTTGGTGAGCTGAATCCAATGGTAGTTGTTTCATCCAAATTGGTTTGGTACATCAAAAGTTATGATCAAAAATGTGTAAAATTCTTAATGTTAACATTGGTTAGCAATGATCTAGGTAATTAGTTTTTTATCTCTTTTTTTTTGCTTTTTATCATTATATAGATTAGTTCTGGGTGTTCTTAAAAAGAGAAGAGTAGTTTAATATCTTGCTAGAGTATTAATATTATAAGACTTCAAATGTCTTCATAAAGTTGAAACTCCAATATTATTTGAAAAAACAGTATTGCACTGTTTGTATATGGATAATCCAGAATATTTGGTTATATTTGTATTAAAATATGACCAAATTAATGAATGCCTTCTGAATTTTTTTTCTAGTATATAGTTACTTAAAGCCAAACTTGTATTAGTTTCTTGAGAAATTAGATGGTTTAGATTTGAAATATTGTCTTTTTCAAGCAGATCATTTTTAGAATCAGAAAGAATATAATTTTCATCATCATATTTTATTTTTATTTTATTTTATTTTTTTACTAAAAAAAATAAAAGTTTTATATTATTTTTTATTTATTATATTGGGTTTTAATTTATTAATATAACAACAAGTATTTTTTTATTAATTTAGTTATTAATCATACTAATGCATTTTCAATTATCTTATCTAGAATTTTTATTTTTTTAAAGTATAGTAACAATATATTTTTACTTTTATAACAGCTTTTTTATTATTTATCATTTCACAAGTTATTATTTCTTATGATCAAAAATCATAATTCATTTAGAATTGGTTAATGTATAACAATATAATATGATAATTTCTAAAAAAACAAAACATCTTCATAATTTAGTAAGTTTTAAGTTTTTGAAAATGAGAACATATGTAAAAATAGTATTAATCTGGATGTTCAATAAAAAATTGAATTATAGAAGTTGAACTACAAAAATTATAATGTAGATTTTTGCATTTAATATATTGAACTTTATTGAAATTGCAAGATATTTGAATACTAGTTGAACAGTAATAACTTATTATCTGGTTTTTTAATATGATTTATTACTTTAATTTTTACCTATTTTGTGTAAATTAATTAAATCGTATATATTATTGGTTCAAAGAGATTTAATTTTAAATAAATAACACTACAATATTTCTATTTCAAGAATAAGCTTTTTTTGATTTGAATAATTAAACCAGCTATTTTTAAAATTATATATATTATAGTTTATACCATGTGATAATCAAGCTTGTTAAGTAAGATAAAATTCTAATCTTGAAAATATTTTATTTAAATTGACAAAAACTAGTATTAACTTTTCAACTTAAATATAAACTTTAATCATTCAATTTAGTATTAAAGGTCTTATATAGAACTGATTATAATAAGATGGCTTCAGTAAAAAAAATTATACAACTCAAGCATTTTTTAAAAAAAATCCAGTATTATTTTATATATTTAGTATAAAAAAAGTTTTGTTTATTGCACTTAAGACATGATAAAAACTTCTATATTGTTACAATTGTTTATAACAGTAGTGTGAAATGAAATCTATTTTATTGTAACAATAGTTATTAGTATAGTGAGTTTTTATGAAAAAGCTTTATAAAATTGCTTTTATGTACTAAGTGCCAGATATAATAATATTTTCTTATTGCAAAAAATAAATGCACAGTTATCTTTGTATATTATGCTTGATTGTTTTCTGCATATTACCTTGCATCTATTTTGATTATATAATCATGTTTATTAATGTAGACTGATTAATTTGGACTGGTCCCAATTCTTGGACCAAAAACTACTTGGATCAGTTCAAAAAACTGGTTTGGACTGCAGTCTTTGCTTAATCATAACATCTCTATTAAAATGTATTCATAGTATAAGCTCTTAACCTATAACTAAAAATAAATAAAATAGTCATTACATGCCAACTAACCCTAATACTAAAAAACTAAAATTAAGACACAGAATAATAACCTCTATTCTGAGTATATTTTAAGGATTTTTTATGCTAGAGAAGATTCAATTTTCATCTTGCCCAAAATTACTAACAAAATTTGCAGTCATGTGATATTGACAAAATTTCTTTAAGTTAGGATAGAGTCTATGTTTTAATAGGATTTTTAGTAATTCTAATAGCAAATTGCTTAAGAAAAACTTTTTGTTAATGCACAGATGGTGATTTCTTATGCAGGTTTATGAAAAATAAGTAATTTTTGACAAAACGAAAATTTGGTTTGAACTTCCTGATTATATTATGTTACACTAAATAGTGATTAACAATTGAGTAATTTGTTGTCAATCATTATGTGACTGCAAAATTTTGTTGATGAAAATTCATGAACAGAGCTTAGGGGCAAAAGTTTCAAAATTGATAGATTTGTAGTTCCATTTTTATAGATCAATGATGTACTCTAAATTGGCATAATGCAGATTTTATTAGTTAATTAATTATTGTGATTTTATTACAATAAATTTATACATAGTAATGTATTGTATATAGTGTGTCTAAAAAACTCTAATAATTTTTTTACTATTTGATTCTTCTATTTAAGAATAATTGAATAGTAGCTATTACAAAAATTTTAAGAGACTGTGTAGTGCAAATTTTATAATTAAAACCACATAATGCTATTTTATATTTATTGTATATAGGTCAGTTGATAAAAAATAATAAGTGCATATAAATAGTGTTTATATTTTAGATGTTTCTGTAGTATATTTAAAACTTGTATTAAAAAATTTCCAAACAAAATATATAATACCCACAAGCTATATAAGCTGTATAGCATAAAGTAGATTCAATTAACTATTCTTAATAAAGATATATATAAAGCATTTGATTAGTCACATTTTTCTATCTTCACTATTACTTCAATCAAGTTTGTTAACAAGCATTTTTTTCTAGATTTATATACTGATATTGTATTTTAAAATATGCTTTAGCATATTATGCATTGTAATTTAAATATTATTGTTTTATTCTACATATTAATGTAACCATTATATATTCAACATTTAAGAATATTTAAAATATATTGTTATGCAATATTAAATTTTTCTATAAATTCTTGAGAGTTATCCTTTACAAATGGTTTGATTCAATTATTATATTATCTTCAATATTGGACATGATAGCTTGTGATAAACTAGTAGATTGTTGTTGTTCTAAAGTTTCAGCAGATATTTTTGATTTTTTGAAATACAGTTGAACATTTTCTTTATGTTTTCCTTTAAAAAAGAAAAGCATTTTTAAAATATATGACAGTTATATTGATTATTCATTTTAAAATAATTATCTTTAATTTGCATTTAGTCTTTCTAATATTAATTATTTTTCTTTTTTGTTCTGAAGAAGAAATTTCATTATTTATATTATTAGGATTTATACATAATATGCAATTGGGTTTATATGGTTTTGCAGATAATTTTGAAGATGCTTCAATATTGATTAATTTTTGGTTTAATTCTACTAGTCAAAATAAATCATTAGAAATACTTGAACTACTTTTTGAATAAAAATATATGCATTTAGAATAGAGTAAAGACAACTTAATTTTAATTTTTAATGTACTTAATATTATAATAACAAAATATTTTTTTTTGGTATTAAGATGAAGCCTTACTCCTATCTTTATTCATAGTTATTAGGTAGTAACTACATGAAGTTACTGAATACAAAAAGAAGTTCTATATATGTTATAACTAAGAGCAATACTTGCAATCAGAATTAACTATTAAACTACTAATTATAAAACTATAACTCTAAGTAATATAAATGCTACATACAAGAATAAGAGTTCAGACATATTTATCTGCAGTTTAAATCTACTAGAATGACTAAGCTTACCTAGATTAGTTGAAATTTTTTAAATAATATTCATTACTCTAATATATACTAGTAAGCTACTCATAAATTTTACTGACTATTTACACTATCAGAAGTTAATTACATTATTATAAAGAAAAGAAAACAAAGATATAATAAATTAAATAAGAAATAAAGTATAGTTAAAAAAGTAAAAAGTAGTGTTGATTGGATAAGCAAATAGATAAAGTAAGTTAACAAAATTGTAAGGATGTAGCTAAGATAAGTAGAATAGATTGGATAGATAAATAGATAAAGAAAAGTTAACAGAAATATATATATATTATTAGAAAAAAAAGCTATCATCAAGTTCATCAATGATTTTAAATATATTTAAAATGTAGATAAAGTTAGTTTCTGATATTGTAGATATACCAATATTGAGTTTTTTGATAATGTATTGGTTTGCTTAATTGAAGTATAACTTGTTAAAGTTTTTTTTAAGTTGAGTAATAGTTGGTTTAAAGATTTGAGTAATGTTGTAATAGGTAATGATCCTGTCTAGGATTTGTAGATTGCTTGTTTGAGATAAAAAATTATTTAGATTGGTTGACTAGTTTATAAAGTTCTTTAAAAAGTAAAGGTATATTGAATGTTACTGAGGTAAAAGTAGAAAGATTTAAAAATGAATATATATATTGTTAAATAGGTATAGTATTAAAGAATTGTTTAAAGTAGTAAGAAGTTAGATTGTAGATATTATGAGTTATTTTTAGATTAAGAATTTTATATTTTTTTAGATTGGTGCAAGTGTATATATAGTATATTGCTATTTTGGTAACATAGTTTATTTAGTCTTAAATGGATTAGATGGTTGGTAGTTCAGGTTTTAGAAAGATTATCCTTTTGTATTTATTATTAGTTGCTATTATTATTTAGTATTTGATATAATTGTAAAATTTTTGTTTATTAATCTTACTAAATTGTTTTTTGTAATATGTAAAAAAGTTTTGAAACCAGGTATTAAATTATAGTTTAATTAAATAAAAAGATGGAACATAGTAGTTTATATTTTTTTATTTTTTTTCCCTTTACTTGAGCAGTCTTGCTGGTCATTTTTATTATATATTTTTGTATTACATATATACAAATTAGTTTATAAATTCTGACCCAACATTCTACAGACGCTTCTATGAGTTCCTACAAGCAATCTGTTTGCACTAACTGTCTAACTTCAAAAGAAATTAGAGTATATCAGGGGCTGCATCTGACTACCAGTCTACAATAGGATATTGCCAATCTGATAACATCTTCTCATAGAGAAGTGAACAAAAACAAAAAAACTTATATAAAAAAAAACAGAGATAAATGATAAAAAATACAAATGCAAGAAATAAAAGAGAGAAAAGAAAGAAATGAAAAAAAGAAAAGATATATGTGACTCTCACTACATAACTATTAGATGGTCACAATTATAAGCCTATATCAGGCTTTTAAGAATTATTATTTTTTTTTTTTTTTTTTTTTTTTTTTTAAAGAGAGGTCTATCCTCTATCTCTTTTATTAATTAGTTAATTATACAT